TCTGGAATTTACCCTTTGAAAGAGACCCTAGATGCACTTAGATGGTTTTGTGTCATTATTCTTTCGCTTACGTTTTTCTAGCGAAGCGGGTTGAATCAGTGGGGCTGTAGATTAGAGGCTGCATATGCCGCATTTCGTTTTCTCCCAGGGTAATTTTTGCGCTACAAAGAAACGCTCCGCTTTGCCAACTGCATCCCCGTAATTGGTCGAAAATGCGAAACATTGTTTGGGGAAGGAATGATTAATGGGAACCTGGCAGAGTGTGGAACAAATTCGTGGTAGCGATTGGTAGAAAAGCCGAAGATATTCTGTGCTTGGGCGACTATCGATCCAGTGCCCTGCCGCTTCCGCCCGGGTAATTCATCATGAGGCACACCGACGCACATAACAACGGACCACAACATGCAAACTGAAAAAGGAGGGAAAACGTGCACAGTAAAACAAAAATAAACTTAGTTTGGGGGATTATAGAACCAAAGTCCTCTTGACCAATAACCATTTCAGCTACGTATGTACGTATCTAGTTCGATCGAAATAAGGTCCGGTACAGAGGGGTTGAGAGCTTTTCATAACTGGTAAGGCTTCCTTATGCAAAAGACCCATTTTAACAAAAAAACCACATTTGTGTAATACGGAACCGGCAGTAATAGGGGTTCTGCGGGTGGGGGGCAGATCAGGGAAAATAAAATCCAGTTACAAAAGTAGAACGTATAGAAGTAGAAAATGTTTGGAAAAATTATTTAAATAACCTAATTTTGGGCAACAAAAAGCGCGCGATGACTGAAATGAGAAATAATACCAATGGAGAAACAAGAACTGCGCAAATGGTACCCGCGAATCAGACACAATAGTCTATCGACTCCATATCGAATTTTCGAGAGTTAAATAATAGCACGAAGGGTAGGCTTTTCCCCCGTTTTTTAAAACTCACAATAGCTTCTAATGCATTTGGACAGATACTATAGTACGATAAGCCGAGAAGCAACCGCATTTCTCTAATAAAACTAAATAGTGAACTAAACTAAACTAAATTAAAACTTATAAAACTAAAATTAACCACAGGATGCTAAAAAATTTCCGTGTGGGAATGCAACGGAGTTGTAAAAGCTGAATACGTACGCAAGAGAACAAGTTCACCACAGTGAAATAAATAGTTTGTTATGTGTAATAAAGTTCGGTGTTTCTTATAAGGAACCCTCAACGAAAACTTACTGTGTGGTGAAATTGGTGGTAGCAGTGGTGTTGATGGTGATGCAACTGAATACATTAATTTTAGTTGGCCCAATTGTGAAAAAACTCGCGGCGTCGGCCGGAGTCAAACCCGCACAGCAGGGAAGGCCTTTACGCAGCTAGTGCTCTACCGATTTCAGTTACGACGCCACGCCTGTGTCGTGAATTTAATCCCATTTTGATCGATTTTTCCCGCTCAACCTTACCGCACGTATAACCAATACGGAACAGCAAGCTGACTGCCCAAGCAGGATTTCCTAAGCAATCAAGCTAGAATCAACCAGAATGACTACTAGGCTGACTTCATTATTTAGGATGTTTGGTAGCTTTGCTTGATTTGGTTGATCCAATTGTAAAATTTACGGCGCAGGTGTGGCGTCGTAGCTCAAATTGGTAGAGCGTTGGCTGCCTGAAGGCCTTCTCTGCTGTGCGGGTTCGACTCCCACCAACGCCACGAGTTTTCCACAATTGGATCAGTTAAATTAAGCAAATCTGCCAAACTCCCTACATGAATAAATTTATACAACTGACGTATTCATATAACTGCCAAAATATTTTCTAATTTAAGTCCCCAGAATTCGTTTTGCCACAAGTCCCTCAGATCATTTACTGACATAGTCGGTATAGTATTTAAGCCCTTCTAGTTATGTCCATAAATCTTGCAAAAGCTGATTCCGCGTTTTTTTTCCTGGTGAAAGAATGGACCAAAAGAGTACAAGCCAACAAACCAATGGCCTACGGAAGTCGACCCTGATGACGAGGTCGACTACGGCTTCACCAAACTGCCAGTTCGGGAGCGTCGAAAGCTTTTTATGAACGATACTGAGCCGCCAAAAATATATCAGTATGGAACACGTAAGTTTTGCCGAAGTTTAGCATTTTTGCCTTTTGGAATCTTCTTTGTGGCCTTCAGCGTGGGTTGATGTAACAACCTCCATTATATGAATGCATAAATTAGAGCGGACGTAAGGGACAGCCGTCGCAGGATAGTTGTTTTTGGTTGCGTTTGAAGCCGAGGTAACTAAGAACCAATGATTAGAATTGACAGTACAAGCAGCAGCGTCCGATGTTTTTTCATAAAATAGTATAAAAAGGCATAAAAACCGTGTGCAACGAATGTATTACTGAGATGCAAAAACTATCCACGAGTATAAAAAGATGCCAAATACTGCAACTAGGATTACCACTCACTGTAATGATGTAATCTGTTTCGGAGTCAGCCCGTAAATCTGAGTGCTTTCAACAACGTACTTCTTGAGATCTGCTCGAGCTGAAGCTGCAACGTTCAGCGAGCATTAGTATCGATTTATGTGTGCGATGGTGGATTGTCAATCAAAAAGCGCTCAGTGAGCCAGAAGGCAGATAATGGGTTACACAGAAAAGATGCGCAACTTACTGCAAAACCTCCAAGTAATTGAAAACAGGCCCAAGTTCTAAATGATAATGAATAACCTTCAGTATCATTAAGACAAATTAAATATCTGAAGCAAAATTGGGTTACTCACAAAAACATTGTTGCTAAGAAACTTGGAAATGCCAACAGCGTAAAAATGGTCGAATAAGTAAATTCCGTGTATGAAAGTTTAAATAATGAAGTAAGTAAAAACTGCGTTTTAAAAATTCCTTTTTATACGGTCTGCATTTAGATAAGATTTTCCCAAGAATAAGTGCAATATTAATTATAGCAATTAGCCAGGTGAGAAACTCACTTGATCCACTTGTGAAGAACTCGGCAGCCTCGGTGGTATTCAAACTCACGCAGGCAAGGGGAAGGCGTTAGTACGGTCAACGCTCTAGTCAAGTGAGCTACGAGGCCCACGCCGGGAGCCGTGGGCTTAATCACACTGG